CAGCCTGCTCTCGTGTCACTGTCATTTACCATGTGAGTTTCATCTGCAGCAGCAAATGTATCATGTTCTGAATATGCTGCTGACATATGACTGCACTCGCCACACCAAAGTGGTTCGAGAAATCATGGAATGAAGTTTCAGTTGCCTCAATAATTCACTCATATCCTAAATAATTATATATTACATAATAAGAACATAGTCTCTGCAGCATTAAAGGCCCGAAAACTTCAAATGTTAACTAACATTAAGTATTCATGACTAAATAAGCAACAATCACAGTCAAAGTTTGGGGAAAAACTCTTGGAAACTGAACTAATGCGCTCCATCAGGATCGCCTGGGAACATAAGCAAACAACCCTCCCAGCTGTCGTCACACTTTCATTAAAATGTTGCTTAATCCTGACTGGTGCATGGACGTGCGTGACTTTTTTATTCAGCTAGACGTGTTCATATTAGCCAATTTCTGTTTGGGAGTGGTGGCAGTATTATGCTTTGCTTTAGAGCTTTAAAATTTTGTTTAATTGATTGATTTGTCAATTGCAAGATAATAAAGCAGAAACTATTTTGATGATCGATTCATCATTTTGGTCATTTTTCATACATAAATGGCAGCCATTACCTTGTTCAAGTTATCTTTGGATGTGTTTAAAGCGGCCTTTAACGAACACCATTTCCCATAAGCCCTAGATGTTTGTAGAATAAATGTCACAGCTTGACAAAAGAGGCAAGTTCATAGGTGAGTCGAGGGGTCGAGAAGGTATAGCTGTACCTACACAATCAGCCCCCTTCACTCCTTGGTCCAGAAGCAGAAGCCCTGAAGAAATTGCTAAGTTAGCATTAAGCTAGCTATCTAGTGTTAACTTAAAAGAGAGGTAGTTAAGGTTAGGGTTAGGGTTAGATCTTGTTGCTGATAAGGTAAAACAAATCTTCACGTATAATGAATAAAGTAAATTAATTAAGTGTATTACTGCAACATTTGGCCTCATAATTATTCAGTAAAGTCGCATTATAGCACGGTTCAAATCCGTTGCGTTGGTGGTTTTGTCTTGTGCTAGTGGTGGATGCAGTTTGTAGAGGCATCTCACGTACACTTTAAACTCGGGGTAGTGACTAGCTCTGACATGTCTCCAATAACAGCACAAAGCATTTGGAAGTGTTATAGATATGGGCGAAACCAAGTTACGATGACGTACCTGCACTGCTGCCTTTGTTAGTTCTCACAGGAGCTGCAGTTTTTTTGTGATTGCAAACTAAATAACATTTAACTTTAGATCTGCTGTGAATGATGGCAATTCTCAAAGTCAGCTTCTGGGGTCTCATTTATAAACACTGCGTACGCAAAAAATGAGGCCTGAAAGAGGCGTATACCATTTCCTACACAAGAGTTGTGATCTATAAAAGCAGACTTAATGGGAGAAACTTTGACTCATGCTTAAGAACATTTCAGAGATGGAAAAATGGCGACGCAGATGGTAAGGTGGAAGCCTGATTGTGCTGAATATTTTTTTGCGGACGTCCGTACATACATTTTTAGTACGAATCCTACGCATTGTTTTTTAAATGAGACCCCTGGTCTGTTGTTGCTACACAACTATGGCGTCAGGGAAAAACCACTTCAGGTACAGTCTATAGCAGTGCAGAGAACTGGTCAGATATCAACATGCAAACATGCTCAAGTGCTACTCTGTGTGCTGAATGAGTAACAAGACGAGACAAATCCAAGTCTGCAGTTTTATATCCCACCATGAGGAATTGCAAAGTAAAAAGTGGCTGGCGCCCTTCAGGACCGCTCACGTAAATGACAGGAGCGTCGAACAAAACTGAAACTGGTCCCTAACAGGTGATACTAACATACTAATAAGTCATATAATAATGGTATAATAGCGACACTCTGAGCCTGCGTATTTGGTCTTGCATTTTGGCAACTCATTTTTTAAGCTAGTGGTGGTGTTATATAAAACTAGACAACCTAAGGCATCCAACCAATCAGGGTGAGTTTTCTCTCATTTCCTGCCTTAAAATCACCAATAAGGGCTTCCCAATAGTCAAACATCATGTTGGTCCTTGTGTTTGTCAATCAAAATGTAAGCTAGGTTGTGAAATTAAGCAGAAAGGATTAAAAACCGATGATCACTCAAGATTTTGCAGACAATACACACCCCCTTTATGATGGCAGCAATCTCATTACGTCATGTTGATTAGATAATCTGTTGTAGAGTATGGAAAGTAGACCCTGCAGTGAGTCCCACACGCTAGTGGAAGAGTCTCGTCTGGATGCGACGTCATGACTTTGGCTCTCTACTGAAAAAACGGTTCTACTTTGGGATCAATTTGCGTGTTTGTGTTGGTCCCCATTCCTCATGGTAACAGGATGATTAAGAAAATATGCTTTGAGGGCCTGCAGTGACACAAAAAAAGAGATCAAGAACAAACAATGAAAGCTGAGCAAATAAATTACAAAGCTCGTGCTTTACTGTAAATCATGTTTGTCTCCTAATAAAGCATCAGTCGGCAGCTGTCAGAGATGAAGTTCACGAGTTCAACCATGTGTCACCGTTCGAAATACCATGTGGGTCCCATTTCATCTGTCAGCCAGCGCAGCGTATATTTCATGATGAAATTTTCATGTACTAGTTGAGTCATCCAACATAATGGTTGAAAGACTCTAAATAAACGGTAGAAGCGCCTGGTGAGAGAAATTGGTATTCTAACTGCAGCCCTGCTTCCAACTGATGATAATCTGTATTCACACAGTCTGCCATGTCAGATGAAAGCCTTCAATTAGCAGTCAATTCTATTCAGTATTTCCTATCATGCCACCACTATTTACATTCCCTGTCAGCACCCAAGGCAGCTCCCTGTCCGACACTTGCAGGAATCACTCCTGGTGAGAATATGAGAGACCCCGCTGTGAACAAAGTGTGAAAACAAGTGTTTTGTAGTAATCAGAGTGGTGGGCTTCTTAATGCCTGATGCTCCCTACCTCGTGGCTGTAGATGTGAGAAGCCAGAAGTTGAAGTGTCATCCTTTCAGTCTTAACCCCGGATGAAAAACTGAGACTCCATCGAAGAGATGAAACACCTCTGATGCTTTGATTTGCAGCCTCGCGCTGGCAGGGGTCTGCGCGGGCCCTCAGCGTGATGCTTGTCCCCTCACCAGGTGTTCTTAGAGGAGACGAGCCGCTGATTGAATTTTGCTCTGCTACCTACAGATCGCCGCTGGGTTCGCTGTAAATGCATTCAAAACAATAAAGTAGCTACCTCCCAGTTTAATGCACTTAAATAACGGGGCAGGCACAGGCGTCTGACTATTATAATATTAGTTTTGTATTTGTGTGGGTGGCATCATGCTATTATTGGGAACTGACAAGCACTGCCTTGAGAAATTCTTTTCTGGGGATAATAAAGCATCAGCAGTAGGCCTCATCTCTTGCAACTCAATAACCAAACTCATACTGAGATGCTGAGGAGCATCTCAGTTCCTTTGTGAGTTTGTAAATTGGTCCAGTGTGGAGGTTTTCATTCAGTGTCATTATTATTAGTATTGTGGTGTGGAAGTATGGGGGGCCAGGCACATAAAGGAACATATTTTCAAAGCCAAAAGCAGGCCAGTGGGAGTCCGTTTTCAATGAAAAAGAGCTAAAGGCCAGTCTGCAGAGACCCTGCTTCGCCTCAGCCCATGTGTCTTGCTGGGTCAGCCCAATAGCGCTCCAGGTCAGCTGGATTTCTGCCAGACCCCTGCTGGAAGAGGCGAAATGAAACAAAAATTAAATCCTGTTTCATAGACTGTGGTGCATTCATGAAAATATTATGTAAACACCACAGACCTGAGGGATAACCTGTAGATATAACAATACACAGGCTACAAATGTGCAAATTAGAGATACGCTTACTCCAATAAACAATTAGCATATGTACAGAAAATGAATAGCAATTTTTCATCATAAATACATTGTCTGGGTTGTTTATTGCTGAAAAATGGGCACATTCCAGCTTCCAAAATGCTCAGATCTGCTGCTTTCCTCTGATAAATATCATTGTAAACCGAACATGTTTGGATTTTGGATAAAACAAGCAATATGAGGACATCTAATTGGGTTCTGGCAAAAATTCAGATGCACAGATCTATCAATAATGAGAATAATCGGTTGTTTCCTCCCCGGTACAAATGGCTCTGATTAGTGCTGGCATTGAGGCTGGAATAATTATATCAATACGGGTATTTTCCAATATAAATATATGTCACAGTAAGGCAAACATGACTAAATCCAACATGAAACAATCAGTAATGTTCCAATACATAAAAGTACTCTTTTATCTGCTCATAATCATGAATGTGTGCAACGGAAATGTTGTAAAACAATATAATATTCAGCATACAGCACACACATAAAAAATTAAAATACTGCAAATAGAAAATAAAGTGACAAACGATAAAGATGACCTACTTTGCTGTTGGATTATTTCACTGGACCTTGAAATTGGCTTCATGATTAAAACCAAAACAAAATAACCTCCCACTGCCCTTTTTTAATGAGCAGAATAAAAGCTTAGTGCAAAATTAAACACACTCAGATGTAGAAAAGGGGGGTGGAGGTAAATTAAATTGAATCCACTCTTTAAGGGGGGCATACAATTAAATTGACATGGGGACTGACTATGGCTTGGAACTAGCAATCAACCAGTCAAGTTTAGCTTGGCACCAATATCTAGCATTTATTCGCATTGATTCAAATGGTAACGTTCATTATTTTTGCACGATTACACACCGGCAGCTCTTCTCATCGTCTTGAGCTACTTCAATCTAACATTTTCACATATATCTCCACTTCATTTTCCACCTCAGCTAATTAGACATACTTACATTGTTCTTGACTTTCAGCAGCATCGATGTAAAGTGGTAAACGGGGGCGGGAGGTGTTGTGCTCTGTGTCGTTCCCTGACAGAACAGAGCACCGGAAGTTGTAGCTGCGCGCTGAACCAATCAGCTGCGAGGTTACTCGGACGCCCTGCCTAAACAATACAGGCAGCAGGACAGATCGCTCGAAGTGCTGTACCGTGTATTTTGATTTTACGATACATAGGTTTTATCAATCTACTTGAAGACTTTTTGTAGTGTTTCCAATATGAGCCACGGCGAGGCAGGCATTTTAAAACCTCGCTGTGACGATGTGATAGCACAGTAGCCACAGCCAGCCGCTGTTAGCTACCGTTAGCAAAGGTGTCAGATGCTAGCCGAGTTAGCTAACGTATGTGACAGCCAGGGAGCTAGTAGAAAAAGTTGTTTTGGAGGAGCTTTTTGGTGGGAGTTGCGTAATGCCGATCAACTGTTGATAATTTTTATACATTAGCTGTAAATCACCAAGGCAACCAACCGGCAAAGTCCGATGTGTTTGTATCCGTTAGCAACGTTGCGTGGTTGAAATCAAGCTAGCAAGATAACCTAAAGTTAGCTTAGCCGCTACGTAAACGACAACATCCACCAAACTGGACAAAACTTTGGATTTAGTCGGGTTTAAATCGGGCTCGGCGGGTTCGCTGACCCCCCAGAAGAAGATGAAGAAGAGGAAGGAGCTGAATGCTTTGATTGGACTCGGGGACAGCAAAAGGAAGAAGACCAAAAAGGGGTCCGGTCACCGACTTCTCCGAACCGAGCCGCCGGACTCGGAGTCCGACTCCAGCTCGGATGATGATGAGTTCAACAACCTGAGCAGCGGAGCTAACTTTGGGAAGTGAGTAACCTGTCTAACAACTGTATGTTGTGTAAGGGTGTTTTTACACAGTCATTAACTTGCTGTATAACAATGCTATTACATTTCCTATTAAAATACAAAGTGAAAGTAATCTGGATGGTTGGAGTAACTTGTTTAAAGAACACTACTACTACTACTACTACTAATCACGAACAGCTACTTCACATCAACTAACTTAAGTGAATTCATTTTCAATTGATTTTTTGCATTATATATGAGATTTTTAACAATTAATTATTTGTTGTTTCTTTTTGAGGATTATTTTATGACTGTTTTAATCTTGTAGATCACTAGGTTGCCCAGCACATTGCAACCAGAGTACATACTATTTCATTTGTCTTCACTCACATGTGCCGGAGAATTACAAAGATAAATCTTGAATCAAAAAAAAAGTACAAAGAGTCTCATTTTCGTTTGCCCTGGAGCACTGTGCAGAGGTTAAAAGAAAAATATAAATACTCAGATGTGCTCAGATCAAAGCACAGTATCACCTATCTTGCACACTACCACCATGGTCAAGGTTTTTTATTCCCCTGCTGCTTTATTTCAGACAAATTAGAAATAATCAATACAACATTCATCAAGAATATATGATGATATTGCCCATATTTCAAAACACCATTATTTACCAGCAATCCTCATAATTCCCATGACACCGAATGCAGCCTTCTAAAAATATCTCCCTCATTAATAATGTAAGAGGCTGTGCAGTTGTAATGTTTAACATTACATGTTTCTTCTCTTTACAGAAGAAGCTACACACAGTGCTGCAATGTGTGCTACCCCTTGTTTCTGTTCATCATACTTGCTGCCTGCGTTATGGCCTGTGCTGGACTCATATGGATGCAGATTGCTCTAAAAGAAGATCTAGACTCGCTGAAAGAAAAGCTGCACAGCAGTAAGACTCACTGTGTCACACACACACCTTGTGATGGTCATAAAAGGCTTGCTGCCCTTTGGACACGTCGTCATTTTATATTCCATCTACATGTGCATTCTTTTGCCTTTAACACCACTGTGATGTTTTTCTAACAGTGGAATCCAGCCAGAAGGTGTCATCAAGTGAAATACCAAAACTGAGTGAGGACCTGAAAAACAAGGAGAGAAAGCTTGATGACATTGAGAATGGGGACAAAGGGCTGAGCAAGCTCTGGTCTAACCTGACAGAAATGAACAGAAAGGTCAGTTGTTTTTGAAGCTACTTTAACACTCACACACTCACACTGTCAAACACTAACCAGAGCTCATCACAGAGTGTTGGAGAATATCTGGACTTTCACCTTGGTCATACTTCAGTTATGGTTTTTTTTTTTTTTTTGGCATTAACTTGCCATCATAGTACAGTAGGGTTGGGCCAGTGTGAAAATGTTCAACCGGTTTGATATTAAGAGCCGGAATAGACTAGACCTATTTACTGAAATTTACGCACAGCCATTCGCAAGTGGAACACAATGACACAGTGTCCTAATAGCAAACAAGCATCCAACTATTATCACATTGCATCACCTCTTTTGTCGGCTTTAAATCCAAAATGTTGCCATATTGGTGCACTTTTAGTTTTCTTGAGAGACTTAGTCTACCATGTCTGGTCTGGTCTCCACAAAAAAACATTCAAACTGTCTAGTAAACAAATGTGCTGCTTGTCTTCCTCCCCACTCTGCTGAAATATGATCCCCACATGTTGTTGTGCTTGGCTCACAGCCTGTCAGACACCAGTGGCTCTATTAGTCTGTTTATTAAGAAATATTTTATGTTCATCAAGTTGTCTTATTGCTTGTTACTAATGCAGTACAAGTTGGATTTAGCCCCGTGTCGCCATCAGCACAGATTGTTGATGAGGGCTACTTTTTTAATTTGCCAGAAGGTGTCACAATGCAAATGTCAGTTTAGCCAGTTTGCATAAAATCAAACTGCTTTAAGTTCGTACACTGGACCTAACCAGCAAAACTGGAAGTCAGTCCAACTCTATAATGCTGTGCGAGTCTTCTTTGGAAGTGGATAAACAGATTGGTAATTCAGTCTTAGAGATGTAACTGAAGATTTTGTGTCATTTTACTCCTGCAGATCAGTTTGCTGGACTCGGCAGTAAACCATTTAAAGGCCAACTTGAAATCAGCCGCTGATTTAATCAGCCTTCCCACCACAGTTGAAGAGCTCCAAAAGGTGAAGGCAAAGTAAAAAGGAATAAAAAGAGAAAATTGGTTTAGAATGCTATCTTGTTAATATTCTTTTTATTTTTGTAGAAGATTTTCATATCTGATCTCACAGAGTGTTCTTTCTTTTCCCAGAGTGTTGCTACAATTGGCAGCACACTAACAAGCGTACAGCACGATGTGAAGACTATGCAGGCTGCTCTCGAAAATCAGAAGAAGGACGACGACTTGAAGAAGACGATGGTAAATTCGATTTCCAATAGTTTTTTTTGTACTTTGACGCTGAACAGCTGACAGTTGGTATGATAACATGTTCAGATCGAATGGGATTTCCAAACCTAAACATCTCATTCACGGCTCCAGAAATGCATCTTCAGGCTAACTCTGAGATTATTTTTGCTTGCACAGGATCCATCTTACCATCTTACATCTCAGAATGGATCGACAGTTGTGTTTACAGGGATGATAAATGTTTGAATGAGAGGCAGACTAGCCAAAGAGAATAGCCTTACCTTTCAGACTGATTTCTGACTGTTGGTAAACTACTGAAATGTCAGTACAGTGTTGTGGGCAACTGACAAACATCACAGGAGAATCTGAAGCTGTGTGCCTTTGTAAATAGTATACAAGGCTGCAAGCTCCAGTATTTCATCGAGCAAAGGCCATGGATTTTTCATGAGCTCAAGTCAAAGTTAAATTTCAGTTATTTTGTTTGACATCCTGTCTGTTTTTTACTTATCTACACTCACTGCAAATATTGCTGGAGGCTGCTTTTCTCATTTATTATTTACACATGAATGTATGGAGACCAGTGTTTATAAAACGTGTAAACAGTGCATTGTGCTTAAGTGAATTCATCGAAAAGCTCGGCGTGCTAATGTCTAATGTACTACGTCTCATTTCCTGGTTGCAGTGTTGCTTTTGCATATTTGCCACACTTAGAGTCGAAGCAAATCTCCTTACATATGCTCAAGATGAGTCTGGTGATGAAATGTCAGTCGATCTGCTCAAGTGCGGCACGAATCCAAACCAGAAACCGCAGTGAAGTTTGCCACTGCGAGATTAATTTGTTTATATGTTTACTTGTGCATGCATGAGTGTTTTTTCGCAGTTCTTGTCAGGCTTACATTGACAGAGTCGTCGGGTTAAGAAGGTCCTGTCATTTTCTTGGATCCATGCGTTGGGTTTTCATTCATAATACATGAAACAAGTGCCAATCTATTTTGGGAGCTTAGATGCTTTAGTTTGCTGCGCGAAAGTAGGTCAGATATCTGAGACAACCGCAGAATGTTTTCTCCACTTTGTTTTTTTACAAGCAAAATGGATGGGAAAAGAGGATCAGCAAATAATCATACAGTTTTACATGTTTTTTTAGACAGTGGCCTCAATAATGATGTGGTCAGTGATGAATTGCTCGCTGACAGAGATTATCCATTTAATCAGAATTGCTTTATTCGCCAAATTGTCAGTGTTCACAGGGATTTGACCTGGTGATACAGCACAGTGTAACAAAGTTAAGAGGTTAAGTTAAAATATTAAATACAAGAATTAAATTCAGCTGAGACCCGAGAGTACTAATAAAGTGCTATGTCGTGCATGCTACAAAAACTGTTAAGTATTATTATGCTACATTAGCACATATTGCTTAGTCCTGGCAAATATTGCACATAGTCTTGTAACTTTTTGTGCCAATGAGTCGTAGAAAACTCTCATCTAATGGTAAACTGCACGTTGCTTTATGTCAATTTTTTCGTTGTTGTCACAGGACATAACAGACCTGAGAAAAGCTGTGAGTGAGGCCAACAAGACAGAGGAGCTGCACCATACACAGTCTGATGAGCAGATCCACATCCTCCTCTCCACTGTCGCAGATCTTCAGCAGAGGGTGCTGTCATTAGAGAACGGGTCAAAGCAAAGGGTGAGTTAACAGGAGGCGTCACACTCAATTCCTGCTCCACTACAAGCACCCCTGTTGGGAATCACTGGCCCAGGCAGTAACAGACAACTTGATGCATTTTACTTTTTATCTTTTATGTGCTTTACAGTCAAAGGACAGTGACGCAGCAGCAATCAACAGCGCAAGTCCAGCAACCGAGACGGTCAAAGAAGCCATTACAACCAAAGCAGCACCTGGGAATGTGCAAGGTACAGTGTAGCATTAAGCTGTTCATTACAGCGGTTTTCTTTGCCCCATGTTACATTTAAATATATTTTTCTCCTTTATATATTCACAGAGGTATCCACACCACTGATAGAGCCTCAGACAAGCAGACGCCCGCGCTTCTTAACTCCAAACCGCTCTAAGAGAAACGCTGAGACACTGTGCCCAGAGACGGTGGTCCTGCCTGGTGTCAGCTCTCAGAAAGGTGCACACGACCACTAAAGTTTTATGTCTCATCTTTCATGATAGGAATCAATGTAACGTTACACTAACAACAACAATCAACAACAGGCAGTTGCAGCAATAGGTAAAATCAGCAAACTTGTGTATGTCTGTTCTCATTTTGGGCCGTTACTGCAACTTTTTATGCCTCCACACCAGTGATAGCCATAACCAGAGGCATTATGTTTTTCGTTTTGTCCACACATTCCATTCTTATCAACGAGATATCTCAAGAACCTTTGAGGAAATTTCTTCAAATTTGTTGCAAATGTCCCCTTGGACTAAATAATGAACTGATTGAATTTTGGTGGTCATAGATCAAAGGTCAAGGTCACTGTGACCTCGTCTCTCTCATTCTCGTGAACATGATATCTCAAGAACACCTTAAGGGGATTTCTTCAAGTTTGACACAAAAACGTCCACTTGGACTAAAAAATAAACTGATTGGAATTAGGGTTGGGTCGGTATGAGAAAAAAAAAACGGTCCGGTTTTTGTGAAAAACCGTATCAAGTCGGTAATACCGGATTTTCGCCAATTGGGGGCACAATTGACTCATTTGAAATAAAAAACGACCATAGGACAACAGAGTGACAGTAACACGTTGTTTCATTTATCCTTACAAATAAATTAGCAGGTTTAGCTTACCCAATCAGTGCAAACAAGGGTTGCCTCCTTCGTCTGGCTCAAAGCCAAAGTGTTGCCATATTGGCGCATTCTTTGATTTCTTCGGGACTAAATTGTTCGCCATTATCGACTCCCCGTCACTGTTAAACAAACTCCAGGCTAGTGTTGTCACGATACCAAAATCTTTGTTTCGGTACCAATACCAATATGAATTTCGATACTTTTCAATACTCGTCGGTACTTTTTCCTAAGGAAAAGTCCTTTTGGATACAAACCTTTAGAACAATAAATAGTAGGGGTGTAACGGTACCAAAAAAATCATGGTTCGGTAAGTACCTCGGTACGGACGTCACGGTTTGGTTGCTCAAATGTTTCACCAAGTTTGTGTTGTCTCGTGTTGTCTCCCTTTGCGAGGCAGACTTTCTCTTGTCTTTTTTCACGTGCGCCAGCTGCGAATGTTGATACAGGTGTTGTCATACACACCACTTGAGCAATCTGTGCTCCAATAGGAACAAGAAAGGCGTTTGTGTGCATAATTGAGTAAAATAAATTAACTAAATTAATGAATTGAATCAATTTCAAAGTACCGGTATTTTCCAAATGCAGTATAGTACCGTTTGGAATACTCTAGTACTGCGGTACTATTTTAGTACAGGTATACCGTGCAACACTACTCCAGGCTACAGTAGAGGCCTCGGCGCATGCGCACTCGCACCCCCTAGCTCAGTCCCCGCCCCACCCCCCTCTCTCTCCTGCTCGCTGTGCGCTTGGTGAAGAGGCAGACACAGGTGCTCACACACTCGGGCGTACTATAAGCGGAGCGGACTCCGCAAGGAATGTCCGCAGTCTTTCGGACTTCCATAGTCGAGAGCACTTCGCGTTGTAGTTTCCTGTAAAAAATGTCCATGAAAAATCCCCGCGATGTGAAAAATACATGCCGAGCAGTCTTTTGTGTGACACTTGGGTCGAGCGGAGTCCGCGTGGTCGTAAAATCTGAGCTTTGCGCGCACAGGGCTTGCGGACGTCCGCTTTTAGTCCGGACAGACCTCTGCGGAGTCCACTCCGCGTACAATCCACCCAAGTATGTTTGGGCCTGACGTATGCAGTCCAGTCGGTCTCCCAGAAAAAACCCGGTCCAAGACGGAGTACTGAACCGAATTGGTATTACCAAGAACCGACCCACCCCTAATTGGAATTGGGTGGTTACAAGTCAACATCAGTGTGATCTTACAAATTATGTTTTTGGCCATAACTCAAGATCTCAGGAACAGAAGGGGAGACATTTGGTCAGATACTGAATTGATGACACAGATCTTTGGTGTCCACCTTGAAACCGTGCTGATTGTATAGATCTTCTGTGCTGCTAGGGGAATACATGTGTGAAGCATCCATGTTTTCACAGATATTGATGTAAACTGTTAGAGAAACTTGACTGGTACATGGAGGCACACAACTGCGGGGCGGTAATTCTAGTTAAGATATATAGTCAAAAACAGTGGTCTGACCTATGTGACGTTTCTGCTGTGGTCATTGCCACTTTTGCCACATTTTAGTCACCTAAAAAATCAAAATCAGTGTAAGTTTTTGCTTTATTTGGAATATTTTCATCGCTTTTATTTACACACCATCTGATGGAGGTAGTGGTAGACCAGTAACTCCCTTGTTTTGCAAAGTGACATGACTGTTTTTGTCACTGAAGTCAGGTGGCTTTGATATAACAGCTTTAGTTCCCAGATGGAACGGGCTGTTGATAAAGCCTGGAAAATATACTAAATATAGCGTGCATTTAAACTGAAATTGATTTTTTTTGGTGGGCCTTTTTTTAAGGTGGCTAAAAACTAACCAATTAAGGCAGCATATGCTCAGCATCATTTGATTTTATGTACATGATGCAGAGGGTTTCTACCCAGAAGTTATTGTAAACAAGCATTGTGATTCATACTGTAGTTTGACATTTTAGGAATTACAGGTATTGGCTTTCTTACTGAGATTGAAATGACCCTCAAGTCTTCCAGTAGCCTATAAAGTATTAAAAGTCTCCACTGGTAGCCTGGTAACCTCACAGTGATAACAAGGAAGTTACTGCTCCAAGTCGAAAAAAAAATTTTCAGCATGTTACCCATAAAAACTTAACCTGCAGTTTGTATAGAAATACAAATGAGATGTAAGGTGTTTGTTTGTGAGCTTTAGAGCTGCTGGTTGGAGGATTTTTTGCCCCTATTTCACATCATTAAGGATATTTGAGACTGACAGACACAGGAGTGGTATAAATCTCTCTGCCAAAAAAAGAGAACATAAGCATATATACCAAAATACTAAGAGGCAAAAAAATTATATTGTGAATATTTTCAGTTGTGCAGCCTGCCAGTTCAAGAGTGCAGTGCCCTCACAGATGAACCTGTTTCTGAATACAAACTGTTCTTTTCACAGACTTGGATCTCATCTTCCAGCAGGCAGACGATGGACGTAATGTACTCCCGTTGCCCTACCACGGCCTGAAGAAAATATTTGGAACATCAATTCCCAAAGCTCGCACCATGAAGTGTTTTGACAGTGACGGAGACCAGAGGTACTCCCTGACGGAGCTGAGAGCCGCTGTAGGTTTGTGAGCACATTATCACTGACAGCAGTGAACAGTATTGAATACCCAGCGGGGTCTGGGGGGTCCGAAGTTCCCAACCCTTTTCCGTAATTGCTGCACTTTTGCTGAACTGAATATTTATCATACTGATTGTGGAACAGTGGCGCTGGCATGCCCCATACTCCATGCCCTCCCAGGTCTATTTCGACACAAACTCATCTACAAAACATGCTCAAATTTTAAACTTCATCCGTGTGACTTCCTGTACGTGTAATAATCTGCTTTTATTTTAGCAAACCAGGGTTTACATGAAATAAACTGTGGAAATAAGTGTTTATTTTGAATCCTGTTTTCCACTCTCACCTCTCAGACTTCTGTTTTCCTGCACCTGTGGGTTTTTTTTACCAGTCTGTCTCATTTTGATGTAAAATTTTTGTGTATTTAGATTTTTTTAGCTTTATCTCCCCACCCATCAACACAAACACCTGGTACAACTCACCTGAACCTTATTTATAGAGCCTGAGATAGACTTTTAGGAATGTTTACAATTACTATTAGAAACTGAATTTTTGTGAGTTTTTCGTTTTGTTTTTAGACAGATTCCTAACCTAACTGAAACACACACTTGAGCATAAGAGTGAGGATTTACGTATGCTCTTTTCTAAGCTAAACAGTTTCATGATTTCTTCCTGCTCCGTGTTTTTTCTCATTTATTTTCAGCTAGTTTCTCCATTTTGATTGATGTGTTTAGTCTCTGCTTTTGTTCTTTGCTTATTTTTGCAGCTTTCAGTTCAAGTTTTGAAGGGCTATGAACACTTTGAATCATTTGGAAAGAGTTTTGAAGTGGTAACTCATGAGGCATATGTAGCAATAACAAAAATGACGTAGATATTGCTTGTTTAAAATTGCAGTAGACAGAGAGTCACGCCTAGCTCACAGTTTGTAACAGGTAGTATAAGAAGCACTGACCATCACTCTTTACTTGATTCATTTTATTCCATTTTTATGGGCCTAATAATGGTGTATTTACATAACAAATTTGTCAAACTCAAACTTTGTTGTACTCTGTAAAAAATGGTTTCAATGTATTCTCACAAATTATGTTGTGAAGGGGGTCGGGGTTGGTAAAAAAAGTTGCTTTACGGTGTTAATCTCAACATTGTACATTTTTAAATAATTCTGTTGTGCTCTGCATGTTGCTTATAATGTAACATGAACAAATTATTTATAAACTTAACATAGCTGACTACTTGTTTTTGCAGGACAATGTAACAGCTTTGGCCATCATGACATAGATTTTGGGTCCATGCTGCTGCTGTACATGGGGAGGTTTTATGAATGTGTTTTTGTGTGAACACCAATGAATAAACACAAAGTTAAAAGTTTGATTTGTGATCCATCTGGTTGCTTTAAGTCATGAACTGAGACACAATCTTCTGGTAGCACTTAACAGTGTTTAACAATGATGTTGCATATCACTGCATCACATTTAATCCAGTCTGACATGTACAAAAAGAGGTGGTAAAGAGCTTTTAAACATATTTACAATTCCTGGATTGCTGATAAACTTGTGCAAAAAAGACAAGCACAGTCACGAGCTCTAGAGAGAGTTAGGCCAGAGCTCCTTTAGCCCTCCAGTCCCGGGACAAAAGCCCCAGCAGCTCCTCCTCATCCTCTTCCTCCTCGATGCTGGCATCTACCTCCATATGTTCCTCCTTCCTGAGCAGAGGCTTGCTTTTCACCACATCCCGCTTGTCTCTCAGTACTTCAACCCTCTTGTAACACTCAATTTGTTCATCAATTTCGTCAATCTGGCGTTCAAGGCGACCTTCCTCGTCGTCCTCCGCCACGATTGCCTCTGACTTTGTGTTCACCTGTCGTATCTCCTTTTGAAACTCTTCCCACTCCTTGTCCATTTGATCTTTGGGTGCGTCAACGTTGCGCACCTTAGCATCTCTCACAGGATCGTCGAAGAAGCCCTCTGGCAGGGCCTCGGCTGTGTTTTCCTTCCTCTCTGTGCTTTTCTCCTGTACCTCTGCTTTGAGGATGGATCCTGAGTGGGAGATGGTGGGTGTGGACGGGATGGAGCTGTCAAAGAAATCGGCGGGTAGTCCTGCAGCTTGAGGCTTTTCAGGAAGGGGATTTGTGGTTCCTGCCTGGCCTGCCTCTTCTTCATTATCATCATCATCATCGTCCTCATCATAAACTCCAGCCAACAGACTCAGACTTGAAGACTTTTGTGAAGAGACAGCTGCCTTCTCGCTGGGTTTCTCAAAGAAATCTGTAGGCAGCCCTCCTGATGCAGACTGGCCTGCACCCGACGGCGGTTTCGCCTTTTTCGAGTTAACGTCCTCGCTGTCCGGTGCTTTCCTCTTCAGCGGCTGTACCAACGGTGTCACTGCTTGAATCTTTCCTCCCTTCAGCTCAGTAACTTTCTCCTTGTGCTGTTTCCCAAGAACATGCGCCGGCCAAAGAAGTTCCGACTTCACCTGCACATTGCACAGGGTACAGCTGAGGTGCCCGAGACTGTTGTATTTAGCGAAAGGAGACTCGACGCGCTTCTTGTCCGTTGTTTGTCTTTGTTTTTCTCTCATCAAACGCCGGAGTTCCTCTTGATTCACAACTTTCTTCCCCTTCTTTGAGGACGCCATCGTTCAAAACAACGCAGCTTGTTAGCTAGCTAGCTACTTGCTGGCGATAAAGTTGAAATGCGTCTCATGAAGATGACGTCAAACGGTGCATCGTAGTATAGTCTCGCGAGATATGTCACTCGCAGCAAGCTAGCAGAGATGGTAGCTCAGCTGGTTGGTTTATTGTACCATCCAGTCCGACTCAATTTTGCCGCAAAGCAAACTGAATCGATACAATTTTAAAACGTTTAGCCGAGTAGCGGTGGATACAACAATGTAGCCGCTCGCTTTTCGGTCTCTTTCCTAGCTGTATGTTGATTCGGTGCGTGTGTTATGTTTAGCATTTTTTTCTGTTTTCATCGCCGCACCCACCACATTCATTTTTTATAGAGGGCTAGCTAGCGAACGTTTGCTAGGAGCTAATGCTAACGCTGGCTGTGGAGCAGCAGGTGTAACGTTATTTGGAGAACACAGAGCAGCCAGCTAGCTACTACGAAGCATCGCCGTTGGCTTAAATTGCTAAGAAGCTAATTTGAAAGCATAATTGACGAGCTCCCAGGTTTATGCCACATCTTCACCAGCGTTGCAGCCCGGTAACGTTAATCGGTTAGCCCGTTAACGTGCGGTACAGTCATCATGACAGGCGAGAAGATACGCACCATGCGAAAGGACCACAACAAACCAAACAAGAATGAGGAAATAATGGACACGTACGATGAGACCTCAAACGGGACTATCCCTAACGGTACCGGTAACCATTTCAAATCCAACAAGGCTTTTCAGAAAGCGGTCAAAACGTCGGCACTGCAGCAGCAACAGCAGCTCAATGCAAACAACATAAATGGCAATCCATCATCAGTTGGCACCATTGTGAATGATAACAACAAGAACCCAATTATCCTGAGAAGTGAGGACTTGGACTTCCCCGTTCACGAGTGCGTGTTCAAGGGAGATGTGCGTCGGCTGTCCTCTCTCATCAGGACCCATAGCATCTCTCAGAAAGATGTGCATGGTAAGTTCTCTGCTGTTACCTTATTGTATTGTGCAAATGCATCACACAACAGGCACGTGAAATTATTGATGTTAATTATATCTACTTGTCTTTCAGGGAACACACCTCTTCACCTCGCTGTGATGATGGGCCACAAAGGTAAAAGTGATAGAAAAATAAACTGTAATGAATTCCTTTTTTTATTTTATAACAGACTATTGTCATACACAGGATTAACCGAAATGAACAAAAAAGCTTCTCAGATGATAATCTACCAGTCTCGGGTTTAGCCCCAGAAAATGACACTAAATCTGCTGTGCTCTGTGGCCTTTCATCTGTCCTAATGAGGCTTTATTGAGAGAGCATTCGGCGTACTCATTAAAGGCCCCCTTTTTAAAAAGCACATGCAGTTCTCCTTCCTTTTTTGGAGTAGCCTCCACCCCCCTGCTGCACTCATCATGCCTTATCTTACCTCTGCAGTGTTGGGATAACATAGTGGTTATCTTTAAAGAAATCCTCATAGAGTACTGAATACATGCAATGCAGGGGGAGAAGCAGACATGCACCAGAGGACGGATCTCACTTCAAATATAGATATGTAGTTGTTGGTGCTTATCTGATGTACTGAAACATGCATAATGAGTCCTAAGTTTGTCATTACATGAAGATTAGCAGTCTATGTTTACATGGACATATTCTATCTAGACTTTGTTACAAAGTTAACATAAAATCTTAACATTTAACTTTTGTGTTCCGCATGGTTGCTCAAAACAACACAGGAAAAGGTGGTGATAATATACAAAATTGATATAATCACATTTTTCTCAATGTCTTCTCATATCAGAATGTGCTCTCCTACTACTGGCCCATAACGCTCCTGTCAAGATCAAGAACGCACAGGGATGGAGCCCTCTAGCAGAAGCCATCAGCTACGGCGACAGGCAAATGAGTAAGTTATGTCAAAGCTGCCCTGAATAGCCGTCTACCGTCCCTGAGTTTTCATATTTGGATGAGGATCTCAGTGGCATACCTGCAATCACACACTCGCTGTTATAATATTTAGGTTTAGTGCTGCCTGTCAGACAGGTCGATAGATTTATGATGGCGTCATGGTGTCAGATTTAGTCTCTATTTGTCGGATAGTCAGTCATTCTGACATCTGGAACGGCTTTCTGTGTGAATGCTAATATCGTGGCAGTAAATGTCAGCTTGATGGTTGTAGTGTGTTCAGGATTATTTCAACGTAGGTTGTGTCTTCAGAGTCTGAGCTTTGCAGCAACATTTCCTGGCAGTGTGTACAGTTCTCAGATACCTCTGCACAGAGTTTTTGCAGTCATACAGGGGATAAAATCAGTCATATTGCCCACAGTTGAAATCTATTCAAGTTGCAGAGAACACCTCAAGATGGCATAAGAAAGCGTTATTTCATTTTTAACCGATAAACCCTAAACAGATGTGCGTCCAGATTATGGTTAATAATGTGCACATCATTAATAAATCCTCATTTCATTCATTCATCTCTGTTTGTTACAAATGGAGACTAAATACTGTTGGAGGTCACGACATGTGCTTGTGAGCATTTGAAGGATTTTTTTTATGTGTCATTTAATTGTTAAAAGATGGCTTTCTGCTCAGCCCAGCTAAAAAGCAAAAGGTGGGGATTTTCTCTGAGCACTCGTCATCCAGATGGGCTGGAACGCAGCCTGAACGATGGCTTAGTGTTAGGAAGCCCTGAGCTTACAGCCTGGTCACTCCCCTGCTTAATGATTCCGCTGCTTTTAGATCTGACATCCAGTGAAAAAGAGTCAAATGACATGTGAAAGGCAGCTAATGCCTTTGGGATGAATTCACTGCTCTTTCCTTTTTTTTTTTTACATCTGCTGTTAATTTTGTATACTTAGCCAAAGATAAGAGGAAAGACAAAGGGCAGGCTGAGTGTAGTAAAAGGACTGTATACTAAATCATTAATCTTTTTATTGTGTCAAAGCTGAGCTGACAAATTTAGTGCTACTACTTGCCTATCTGGGAAATATCAGCATATTCCCCTTATAAAGCCTGTAATGGAGGTTGTGAGGCCGAGCTGTTTGAGAAATGACCCTCAACCTTGTTAGTATGCGTCTCGACTCTCTGTGCCTGCTGTGGCAGGCCGGCTTGGGAGTGGGACCAGGAGTTTTGCTTTGAGAAGGTCACACTACTCACAAGGGTGAAGGGGAGGCAGAAAGGGGGGCTGGGTACGCTCACACCATCAGCAAGGACATGCAGAGAAAGGCATGGCGTATTTACATTTAGATCTTTGGTTAAATAACATGCAGCTGGCTGTCACACAGTGAGAAGGACAAATTGAAAATAATGTGTGCCTGATATTAAATGTACGAGTTGCAGCTTTTCACAGCACACTGCAGTCTTGTCATCGGTCATCACCTTTCGCTTTTACACATGTACACATTGCGTCAGCAGCTCACTCACTGGTTGTGTGTGCGTGTGTGCAATGACGAACTGCAGCAAGTGCTCCATCAGCAATTCTCTCCTCAGTCGCGTTCATTCTCAGTCCACTGTTTCCTCACTGGTCAAGATAACCAGGATATATCTGAGATATGTGGATTTGTTGCAGTCCATCTGCTATTATGAAGTGGTTGCTGGTCAGTTTGAGAGAGAGAGAGCTTTACTTCACAACACAGTGAGTTGTATCAGCTCATCTAATCACTGCTACTGATGCTTGTAAAATGAAAAATGTTACTTCTGTATAGGAACTAGTTGTAGCAGAGTAACAATGCCTCCTCATGTGTTGATTACGGTGGCCGACAAGAGCAAATGTGCTACAGCAGCCCAGAACATTTCCATTTGGAGAAACTTGTTGCAGCTTCAGAAATGATGCCAATTCAGAAACACATACAAAAATCAAAAAAACAAGTGCAACAGTAAAACGCTGCATATTCAGTCAACACATTGGAAGCTCTCCAGGCCACTATGGGGAGTATGAAGTGGAACAGCTTGGGTTTTTAACCAGAGAGAGATAGCAGAGCAGCAGGTTTATGTTGCTAGCTAGAGTCGTACATCTGTTGCTCTATTTATAATGTTGTAAAAAGCTAAGGCCAAACGTTTGAAAGAATACATACCTTTTCATGATGCCTCTTTAGTCCAATTTTCTTCTTGCTTCAAAAACAAGCACACTGCCTCAAGTTTAAAATCAAGCTGTAACACTAAGCACTTCCCCCAGAGGCCCGGAAAACTTCTGCTGTGTTGACTGGACTTTGCATCGTTTCTGTATTCGCAGCATGTTTGCTGCAGATGTTTTTGTTTTGGCTTTCTGCAGCACAATGTTTGATTTGCAGCACATTTCCATTATTGTATTTGGTTTGGATTTTCATGTAGTTTTGTTTTCAATTAGCATTGTTTCTGAAGCTGAAGCATATTTCCCCTAACAGAAATGTTTTGGGCCATTGTGGCCTGTTTGCCCTTGTCAGCCATTATAGTTTATGTGTAGTCGCACCATGTTAAAATCTCACGAAGCACTTTGCTCAAGCTGCAGCATTTGACATCTGACACCAGTATATCTGTGCTGGGAGATGTGTAATATCAATATTTAAGCCAGGCTGTAGTTGGAAATACAAGTTGTGTGCGTTGTTTAGCTGTACTCAAAGGTGATGTAAACATTGCAGTATCCAAGTGTACATTTGTGTAACTTGTAACTGAGTTATTTCGTTCTCGTCCTTGTTTCCACAGTCACAGCAATACTGCGGAAGTTAAAGCAGCAGTCCAGGGAGAGTGTGGAGGACAAGAGGCCAAAATTACTGAAAGCTCTCAGGGAGGTGAGGATTACACTGCCGTCACTTCCACAGATGCTGCTGCCTCACTGGACTCAAGTTTGCAACTGGTTTCATTCTGCACCACTGAACTTTCACTCCATTGTATTTTTTAAAAAAAAATCTCTGCAGGCTTTCGATTTGCATAAATGACTCTTGCCTGTCCTTGAGTGTGCATATTAACTACCTAAGTGCATAATGTGAAATCTTCAGTGAGCTGTGCTCCTCAGCTGACCCATTAAGTTATAATACATCAGTTGAATCCTTCATCAGACGTGTTTGTGTCTTTTCTGTAGCTTGGTGACTT